GGGGGGGCGAGGCCTTGGCTGTAGGGGGCGGGGCCTAAGCAAGGGCAAGGTTTGCGTTGTGGGCAGGGCCAATGCTCAGGACCCACAGGGCTGGAAAAGTCCCTGGGGGCTGTGGGGGGGTGGGACCTAGGCTCAAGGAACCAAAGGGGCCCAGTTGTGCCCCCCACCCCTGGTCTCAGAGGGCATGGGACCTCCCCTGGGAACCCAGCAGGCTTTCGGGGCTCCAGTGGGTGGGGAAAATGCCCTTCTCTCCTCTCTTGCTCCTCCAGTCTGGGAGGGTCCCTCCTGCCTGCCTCTCCTGATCTCCCCGGCCTCCCTACTATGCCCACAAGGACCCATGCAGCCTGGAGGGGGCTTTGGAGGGCAGGGCACGGGCCTGGGAGCTCAGCAGGCTCCCTGGCCTGAGTGGGCGGGGCAGTCACCCTCTGCCCCTCTTCTGCTCCTCCTGGAGGGCCCCTCCCGCCTGTGTGTCCTGATCTCCCTGATCTCAGGGGCATAAATCCTGTCTGGCCTCCACTTCTCCTCCCCACCTCAGTCCCTCTGCATCCTACCGGTTCACTTTAGGGTTCCTTCCGTCTCCTTGGGCATCAGAGTTCCCCACCAGTGGCCAGCAGGTGCCCTAGTTGTGGGGAGACGCTAACTCCCCATCTTCCCACACTGCCATCTTGACTCTGCCTTTCAATTTTTTTTAATCCATACCCTGTATGTTACACATACTTTTCTCATAGGAATACCTATTTAGAATTAAGTTTAGATGGAACTTGATTTCTAGTTTTGGCTTGGCATGTATGGTGTAGTGTCTCAGTCACCTTATATTTCAGACAAAAACTTGAACTTCTGAAGACCAATATGTTCTGCAAATGCAAAGTATAATGATTATAATGAGGGTATCAATTCATATATTAATTGATTTAAACTGTATTACTGTATTAATAAATGTACTTTCCATTTCCCACAAGCTGTTTCCCTCTTGAATATGCCTCATATCAATTTTCTATAAAATTAAGTTGCATACAACAGCTCATTTATTTTGTTGATGTTATTTCTCTCTCCTTTCCTTCTTTAAATATCCATTGAGTGGCTGATAGGGAGCTCAGAGAGACATACTTGCCCACAGAAGAGTTGTTCTGTCTTAAACAGCCCCTCCCAGTGTACCTATACTGTCCAATATAGTACTGGGCTCACTATGTATTTAGTAAATATTTATTAATATGAACTTGACATTATCAATAATTTTATCATTTATTTCATTTGATCATTTATTTCAGTGGTGAAGGGTAAGTAGTGTCTATTGGTAGAATACTCTTACTTTCCAAGTTCTGTGTCTACGCTGACCTCAAAGAAAGGAACAACCTTCAAAGCTTATTTGAAGCTATTTTGTTCATTCATGCAAACTTATGTATGGAGAAAATGTATAGTGGAGGGAAGGGAAAAAGTCAGGATGCTCTTCTGCTTCTTTCCTGCTATGCTTAAAATTAATCATGTAAGTCTTTCTAAATTTGCCTCAAAGATTAAATGAGAAAAAGATTTTTAGGGCTGTCTAGCACAGTGCCTGACACACAGTAGATGCTCACTTTATGCTAGTTTATTATAATGCAATGGACTAAAACTAGAGGATCTTACTCCTTTATTCTACATGATTCACCATCCTATTTTAAACTTTTCTCTTTTTTTTTTCACTTGAAGAATGGTCTTCATGTGCTTTTTTTCCCTGAATCTGTTGAATGGGTTCAGTGCTTAGTTACCCAATAAAGTGCAGGCAAGAACTTAAGGCTAGTATTTTCCTTAAATCTCTTCTATGATTTAAGACACGTCGGAGAAGGGATCGATGAGCTCCTACATCAACGGATGATGGTTTTTATCTTTATCAAGTGACCCACAATTTGGTTACTGGTGCAATGAGAAATTAAGAAAATAGCACACTTTTATGAGTGTCATTTCACAGTCACTCAAATCAGAACTGGAATGCCACAAAAACAACTCCCTGTTAGCCCAGAGAAAAAAAAAGAAAGAAAGTAAAGGGGAAATTCAGATTAGTCACAAAGAAGTTCCCCCGCCTGCCTGCAAAAGCTGCAGCATTAAAACTGAGAGTCCTCTCTGCTCTTTCAATCGCCTCTTGTCTCTGGTCCTGGGACCTTTGTGTGTTTTCTGATTGATACACCTTGTTTTGGCTTCATCTCCTTCTTTGTGGGGAAGAGGTCAGTCCTCCCTCAGGTTCCCTTCTGTCACAGTTTTCATCTTCCCTGCATCCAGATTGTGAAGATGGAAGGGGTCCAACCCCTGGATGAGCATGTTGGAAATGCACCAGGACGGAGATTCTTGAGGAACAAGCTATTGCTGGTGTCCTCCGTAATTCAGGGGCTGGGGCTGCTCCTGTGTCTCACCTACATCTGTCTGCACTTCTCTGCTCAGGTAAGATGCACCACTGGCATGTCCTTTCCTCCAGCTCAGGCTAATGGCAGCTCCAACAGCTGCAAATGGTCACTTGGAAATAATCTGACACCAAAATTTTTTTTTTTTCCCTTTTCTGCTCAGCGATCGTAAAGTGTGGTCATACACCCTTTTGTCTCTGTTTTCCTTCCTTTTTTTCAGCAGTGGCAGTGGTGGGGCACAGTGGAGATAGGGCAGGGGCACTGCTTCTGGATTATTCTTTTTCTTTGCAATGCAAGAATCCTGGTATTCCTTTATGAGCTGTCACTTAGAAGCTTTGAGTCACTGATATACCTACTTGGTTTACCTGTTCTTCTAGTAACCATCTTATCAGGGAATTAATGTAAAAAGGAAATAAAATCTCTTTACATTATTATACTTTCCTATTGTATTCATAAGCCTCATAGACTCTCAAGGAAATATGCTTTTTGAAGAATGCTAAATGTTATCAGTATTAAGTTCTTTTAAATAGCTAGCCTACGTATTTTAAGGGCAGAGATGTATGTGTTCACGCCTGTATGTATGCATGGCCAAACGTTTACCCCAGTAACTTGATCAGATATTGTTTCTCACAGCCTTTCTCTACCAATCACAACTTACAGACATCACTTTGTCCAATACATTATGTAGTGGAAGATCATCATTTTAGTATTTCTCCCACTTAATGAAGATATTCTTTCCATTTTTCCTTCTCCTTATTATGGTCCCTTTTACATTATTTTTTCTTATTTACTTATTCATATCTACAAACATTATTAGCTCTTTAAGGATGTTCTTGACTGCAGGAGATTCCACTGAAAAGAAAAGAAATGAATAGTGTCCCCATGTTCCCTTGTTGGGGCTAGTCTGAGAGTTCTTGTTTCCCTGGTGGATGCTCTGTGTTAGAAAAGTCTCTCCCTTGTAAAGGTCAGACAATAGGAACTTTTATTTCTGATGGCCAGGTCAGAGACTGGGTACCTCAAATTAGATCTGGATAAGATGAGCAGAGTCCTAGACGATGCCTGGGCTTGTCTTCGCCTACAGGAAATAGGGGTTTTCAGTGCCTACAGGCTAGTGGGAGTGTGGTTGTGATCACTGTACTATAGAGTGCTTGTGTCCCCAAATTCCCAAAGTGTAGCTGGTGTCACACTCAAGCCTGCAGACCAGTGAGCACCACAGCACACCCATCCTGTCCTCATCATGCCAGACGTTTCCTTCTTGTCACAGAAGCCTTTGGGTGAAATTAGAGTAGGCAATCTGGGGAGAGGGTGTGGGGGGAGGAGCAAAGTGTCCATGGCAGGATGCCTAAGACAGAGACCGGAATTAGGCCCTTCCGAGAAGAAAACAAAGAGTAACCCAAAATAGAACAGCTGAGTTTATTCACCAGGTCTGGGAGCCCTGAGAGTGCTTTTTCAAACAACCACAGCGTTACATATTTCCTTACACTGTGGGATGATAAAAAGACAGAACATATGGCCCCAGTCAAGGCTCAGCAATTAATTGCACTAGGGCTCTGAGCAGGAGAGAGCAAAAGGTGAAACAGATACAGATGTGTAGCCAGCTGGTGGCGGGGGCCGCCCCAAACTATCAGTACCCAAGAGATGCAGAGGAGAGGGGTCCTTTCTAGCAAGTCGCCCAGCAATTCTGTGCTAGAGCCTGGAAGGGAAGCTGAGTGCTGGCTTCCAGGATACTAGAATTCATGGAGCTGATCTTTGGGAGAGAATTAGCTTTCTCTGGTCCTGGCCCAGAAATGGAAGCAAAGATAGAGGAGGTATATTAGAGCTGTTTGCTCAACAAACGTGTTCTTGTATACTCTGGATACAGAACTTTTTGGGGCACAGATATTTGAAATGCTTAACTTGACATTAACTTTTTTTTCCTTACTTCTAGCTAGACTGTTTTAGCTAACATAATTTCTTATACTGTTAATAAGACCCACGGCAGCATGTTGTGTCCTTAAATTTAATCTCATAAGCTTTGTTAAGGGGAAGGACAGTCGTGTGTGTTCTCCCCAGAAGTTGATCAGTCATGGTGGCAGCAGTGTGTGTGTGTGTGTGTGTGTGTGTGTGTGTGTGTGTGTGTGTGTGAGAGAGAGAGAGAGAGAGAGAGAGAGAGAGATTGATTGAGAGAGAAGGGTGTAAAGTAATTGCTGAAGAAGGGACATAGAGTGATAGCTTTTCTAAATTCATAGATAAGATTGTTGGGAATTTTGGTTGAAGGATGAGGTAGGTGGTGATGCCAATCAAATCTCTACTTTTATAAGACATAATATTAGAGTGATATGTATAGGGGGTGAAATAAAGCTGAAATGCTCATCATTTGCCTAGTTAAATTGGATCTCTTTCATTGTAGGAGAAAGACATTTGGAGAATAATCATGATTTTTTTTCTTATTTCTTAGATTTAATTTTAAACTTCATAAAAAATTTTCCTATATGGATGACTCTGTAAAAAAAATACATATGAAACTGTTAAACTCCATTTGGCAGTCAACCTTCCCTTCAATCAAGTTTATTTAGTAACCTTTGTTTTCTCACCACTTGGTTAAGTTTTATTATGTGAAAAGCAGAAGTTTTTGTTTTTGAATGTCAGAAAAAAAGATGGACCTTACTCACTCCTTATATAATACACATCCCTCTTTGGGTCCTGATTTTCTCATCTGAAACAGGAGGCAGTTGGATCAAATGATCAAGAAATCTCTCTTCCAGGTCAATATCCTGTAGGTATGTAGTTTATATATATATAGTCATAAAATGGGTATGAGGATCTGAGAAATACCAATTTAAGTAAACAGGTTTTTGGGTCTAAGCTTCTGGATACCCTGGTTCTTAAGAAGGGACTGAGGGAAATCAAATTTGCACATATATTTGTAATCTGTATTTATTTATATACCATGTACCTATCTAAGTAACTTATTCTAGATTAGCAAAATACCTTATTTAAAAAGGGAAAGAAGTGGATGCTGTAGAAGAATATCCATGACACAAGTTATAAAATTGAGTCACAAAAATCAATACATGCTGTTTGGATGTTTATTGGGACTGCCATTTAAAGTATCAGGCTTCCAGGCTTCCCCGTAACTTCACCTGGGAACAGTGGCAGAAAAAAGCTGATCTATAAGGTGAGAAGCTTTTGCAAATTATACCCATGTGTCTCAGAGCTATTGAAGCTGGGCTCTTCCAAGATTTGTATCATCTTTATCAGAGTACTTTAAAGATGTGCTTTTAGTGATAATTCTTCAGCACATCCCACCCACAGTTAAAGGTTTACATTCTTATCACTTTTATTCCTGAGAAAGACAGAAGTGAAGGCATTTGGAAAGTGAGCTGACCAATTCTGTATCAGTGATGGCCAGAATTAGAATTCAGTTTCTTGATGAAGTTTCAGACTATAACTTGGACTTTGTATCCTTTAGGAAGAAAAAGAGGCATTTTTGATTAAAAAATCTTGTCTCAGATTAGCTCAAATTAAATGTGTCCCCATGTAATTTAACAAGTTTTTAAAGAAATTTTTTATGATAGACATGGAAATAATTTTCAATGTAATTGAATTTGCATTTTATAAGAAATTTTATGGGAGCTAAAAAGAAACATCTGAAGTATTGAACTGATATGTCACTAAGTATTTTGAGGCTCTTAAAGGAGGTACTGAAAATGTATAATTGTTGGATTTTTGAGCAGGCATTAGACATAGTCCACTTATGGACAGGAAAACAGAAACTCAGGGAGGGTAAAAGCCGGAGGAGGAGGTAATGCTTCACTGATATTAGAAGAAAGGTGGAAATTCTTTAAATAGATAAGAGGGATGATGGTGGGTGAGTAGGGGCAGAAGGCTTTCTAGGTAAAAGAGCAAGTTGCTCAGAATGGTTGGAGTTGAGAGTTCATTGGGGAAAGTGGAGGAAGAGGAAGCTGAAAATCTAGGTGAGGGCAGGACACAAAGGGTCTTGTGACTCATGCTAAGGGAACACACTTCATTCCATTCTATGCAAAAGAAAATACAGGAAAAATTACCCAACTTGTCGCTTCTCCAAATTTCGCTTCTCTTATGTGGTCTACATATTGACAAATACAGAAAGTGAGTCTAATCTCACATAGCACTAGGGGGCACCACAGTAAAACTAACAGTTCTTGGATATCTTTTAAAGAGAACCCACTCTTATTTCCTGAGGAGTTAAGAACACTTTTCTCAGGAAGCCAAGCGCTCATCCATGTATAAGAGGGTGAACAATATCAAGAGGGCCTAATATCGTTCACTGTTTACACAGTGATGATATTTTCTACAAGAAAAATTTAGATATGGGTTCTGACCCAAGCACTCAAAATAGGACAGAATAGCTTGGACAGGAATCATGCTGGAAAATGTCACATATGTACACACGAATAGAAACAAATATACGCACTCAGAGGAGAGATGGGAAGCAAGCAGAAGGGCTCTTGGTATAGACCTTGGAGTATAACCGACCCTATTCCTTTTCTCTGACCTCAACTCCTAGCTACTAGCCCTGAGTAGACCTAGCCTTGCCTAGGGGCTGACCACCCTGCCCTTCCAATTCTGTTTCTTTTAATGGAAATTACTTCTGTGCCCTTCACTTTCAGAGAACCCACAGCTTCCCACCTACTTCAGGGATTCTCCATTCATGGCTCATGAACATTAATCTTCTGGAATCACTTAGGTTGGAGGAGCCATGTACAGTGTTGTTACTCCTATTTAGGGAGTGAAAAGATACAACTGAATAACAAAGTAGAAGGGTTATTTCTCACAGTCACAGATAAAATATATGGCATATGTGGTAGTGTTAGTATGAAATTGGATTCCCCAGCATCCTATGGCTTGTGCATTTTGTTTGTAGCCAAATGAAGGCATTAAAACACTTCCTCATACAAAAATACAACACATCTTCTCAAAATTTTAGGGGAGTCATTGAGGTGTAGGAGAGAGAACACTGGACTAGGATCTAGAATATTCTGGTTCAGTCCAGTCTTTTAGCTTTGTGACTCTGGGTAA